GGAAGAGCAGCCAGTGTTCTTAACCTCTGAGCCATCTCTCCAGCCCTAGGAGATATATTTATTTGGCCCAGGTGGTGGCTTGAGTGAGAATGGCCCCCACAGACTCGTATTTAAATGCTATGCCACCAGGGGGTGGAACTGTTGGAAAGGTTTATAAGGATCAGGAGGCGTGGCCTTGTTGGAGGAGCCCATCAGGACCCAGTCACTCTTCTGCCTGTGATCAGGATGTAAAGTTCTCAGCTACTTCTCCAGTGCCTGATTGCATGCCACCACGCTCCCCGCCATAACAGACAAACCTCTGAAACTATAAGCAAGTCTCTAGTGAGATATCCACCCTACCCGCACCTGTAGCATAAACCACGCCCATTTGGGCGTGGTCACGGGTGCGGACATGATTCGGAGTGGGGTTAGGTCTGGGGTAGGGACAGGTGGCTCTCTCTTGCTTCTGGTCTGGTCACAGAAGGCAGCCTGCGTGAATCCTTGGAGCTGGAACTTGCGGTGGTCACGGTCACCCACTTCTTGTGTTAGTGCATTCTCCCGGAATAAACTCCACTTAACCTGTACTGAGTCTAGTGGATCTTGATTCCCGAGCAACCAAAGCCCCCATTAAATGCTTTTCTTTGTAAGAGGTGCTGTGGACATGATGTCTCTTCACAGCAACAGTCAGGGACTGACACCTGAGGGTAGAACTCTAACTCAGTGGTGAAGAAGCAGGCACACAGCAAGCTTAAAGGCTGAACAGTCCCCATACTGAAGGAAGGTTAGAAGGGAGAAAGCATCCGCATTAGCTGGCAACATTTAAGACATTTAATCTAATTCTCAGATCTCAATTGTAGACAGCCTAGAACTACAGATAACTGGCTATGTCAGCCACATTCTATACCACAGCCTTGTTCTCATCAATGACCTGTGAATGTATGTTTGGGTCATAATTTAAATCTTTTGTAACCAAGACCTTAAAACAATTGATAATAACCCAATTCTCAGAATAGGCCCACTTTAAAAAAAAAGTATGTATTTGGGTTTCTCTCACCATTTAATACTTGTCTTTCATATAACATCAGCACAAGCAAGTTTTACCTGTGAATCTGATCTTGCCTGCTAGATCGTACTGGAGCCAGACCATCGATTTCATCAAAGAAAATAATTGCTGGTCGCATCTGATAGGCCTACAAGAAGGTCCAGTAGTCCTGTGTTATCATAAAAAGCCTCATATAGACTTAATACAAAGCCTTTCAATCTATTTTCATTCAATTTTGCTTACCAGAATGTCATTTGTAACTATTTATAAAACCAATATAAATTCCAAAGACTTTTTAAAACTTTACATATTACATTATATTAACATGATTTTATTTATATTTTTAATTGGAAACATCCAAAATATCCTAGTGGTTACGTATCTTGGATTTCACAGTTACAGTTACTAGACACACAGAAAAATGTCATTATGGACTATGCAAACAAACAACGGAGGACAGCGACCCTCTCCCTCCACGTTAGGTTGTTCAAACCCATTTGCAGTGTCAGGCATGGTGGCGAAAACCTTTAATCCCAGCACTTGGGAGGCAGAGCGCTGATTTCAAGACTAGCCTGATCTAAATGAGCCAGGGCTACACAGATCTTGCCTAAAAAGCAAAAACAAAACATCTCCAAAAAACACACACAAAACCCTTCAGCAGCATATCCTAGCAGAGCAGAATGTATTATTTCACAATGTACTGTCAATATAATTTGGCATATGAAACTGAAAGCTATTCCAGGGAAGAGTTTTATTCGGTTTCCCTACTGTGAAATAATTTACCATTATTAAACTGCTCAGGAGAAGACAACTCCACCTCCTTTACTAGGTATTAGCTCTAATACTTCTAAGAACTCATTCAATTATTCCTATCTATATAGTTGTTTGCTGTATTAAACATTAGCATTAAAAATATTGACATTTAAAAAAAAGAAACAAAAGCATTGCTGCTAATACAATTCAAAGGTGGCTAGGTTCACCCCATGCTGGTAGCCAACCTTGGCAGTATTGTCCATATGGTGCTAGCTTTAGAGGCAAGGGTGCGAGCCTAAAGGGAGGGGCCGTGGGTTCTCCCTCCACAATGTCGGAGGGCTGCTGAGGCAAGAACACACGGGGCAGGGGAGTTCCTGCATGAAAGCCCTCAGAGGGCAAGAAGCTAAAAGCCCATTTTGTGAAACTGGGAAAGTGAAGTCTAGGTTGCAATGTTAAGAGCTGCAGAGCTGTGATAGTGACAAGGGGAATCTAAGATGTGAGCCCCCCCTTCCTATCCCTGTCACCATGCCTGCACTTGCTGCTGTGTCGACTTTTAACCCTCTGCAACAGTAAGCCCAAATAAACCTTCCATAAAACAAAATCAATCCTTATACACCCGAATCTGCAGATTAAAATCTATATAGGTAGATTCTATTATCATACCTGATCAAAAAGCAATCGCAGCTGCCTTTCCGATTCTCCAACCCATTTACTCAGACAATCAGCCCCTTTCCTCATGAAAAAGGCCACTCTTTTATCCCCTTGGCTGCACTCATTGGCAAGTGCTCTAGCAACCAATGTTTTTCCAGTTCCAGGTGGACCATAAAACAAACAACCTCTGTAAAACATGTCAAACACTTTTAGTAGTAAATTAAAAGGTAGACTACTGAAACAAAAATTAAGAACAAATCTCATAACCACTAATTAATTAAAAATATTAAATTGAAATAGTTTCATTATACAAAAGTGCAGGTTAAAACTCTGGGAGTTAATACCAACACAATAAAATTAATACCGAAACTAAACAAATCCCTTTATTTGAAACATTGCCCTTTATGACTGACTGGGTCATGCACATCACACAACACAATCATACAATTCTCTCTTGATTTCTCTGTGGAAGGGATAGTATTTCAAGGAGAAATCTAGAGAAACTTGGGTGTGCTGGTGTAAAAATTGTTAGTAATTATGTGTGTGAGTAGAAGACAACTCTGGAGCTGGTTCTCCTCTCCCACCTTTACAATGGTCTTGGGGGTCAAACTCAGGTTGCCAGGCTTGTGATTAAGGACCCCATGCTCTTTGACAAGACCAGAATTTGGTTGCCCGCATCCAAGTCTGGTGACTCACAACCAGTCTGTAACTGCAGCTCTAGTTAGAAGTCAGAATCCAATGACTTCTGGCCTCCACAGGCACCCCACACAGGTGGCACACACTCATATCATACACACACATCAATAAAGAATAATTTAAAAAGGAAACCAGGAGCTAGCACTTTCAAAGGAGCTCTTCAGCAAAAACGGCTTACAGTAAAAACACTGGCCATATAAGCTTGAGCATCTTAGTTCAAATGCCCAGAACATATGCAAAAAGCTCGTCGTGGTTATGTGTACACCTGCAATCCCGGGGCCGTGGGGGACGGGATAAAAGGATTGCTGGAGTCTGCTAGCTGCCAGCTAGCTCCAGATTCAGAGAGAGCCTCTCTCGAGGAAGTAAGACGGCAGGCATCAGAGCAGACACCCGGCATCCGCATCTGACCTCCACAGGCTTGCGCGTGGGTCTGCACACCCCCCTCGCTCATATACATCTCACACACACAAAGCCATGAAGCCGTGAGAAGTCAGAGAAGCAACATCTCTCACACAAAACCTTGGAGCCGTGAGAAGTCAGAGAAGCACGGCACACACTACGGCTACAAGTGAAAGCATATTTAGGTACCTGGGGGGCTGGATTTTAAACTTCTCGAAGACTTCCGGGTACAGTAAGGGAAACACTACCATCTCCTTTAGTGCTGCAATGTGACTCGACAGGCCACCAACACTGTCAAATCGTACCTGGAAGGAGACAGGACACAGATCTGAGTTAAAATTAAAAACACTGCCCTGTATTTTCACAACATCATCCATCCCACAACCAACTGATTAACAATAATATTGCAAGATTTTTTTTAAATGTTTATTTTCTGAGTCACCATGCGAATGCGAATCAAACTCAGGTCCTCTGTAAGAGCAACACATGCTCTAAAGGCTGAGCCATCTCTCCAACTCCCCGAAGATTTTTGTTTTTAAAATGTATGTAAGATTTATTTTTTTTTAACTTAAAAGTAAAGTGAACAAAATGACACGAGTCAAGCATGAATTTTAAAATACTCACTGAAGAATCTAGTTGCATTGGGTCAACATCAGCAAGGTTTGCTCCAATTTTCATCCGATCTTTATAAATCCCTCTTATTTCATCTTTCCGAAAATTTAGTGGAAGGCACCTATTAAAACAAAACAAAACACACACACACATATAAAGTCACACATCATCAAATCACCCTCCTCCCTAAATTTCATGTTACAACATTATTTTTCTTATTAAAAAATGTTTGGGGTTGCAGAAAATGGCTCAGTGGGTAAAGAGGGCTTACTGCCAAAATGGAGGACAGGAATTTAGTAATCGCCCACATATATTAAAATCTGGGTAGAGGTGGCAGGCCCACCGTAATCTCAGGGTCCTGGAGGCAGACATAAGGAATCCCCAGAGCAAGTTAGTTGGCCAGCTACCCCAAGACGGAGCCCCAGTTCAGTGAGAGACCCTGTCTCAAAATAGGAAGTGGAGAAAGACTATGGAACACAACCCATGCCAGCCTTTAGATTCTACATAAACACAGGGACGTGAGCTACAGACTATTGTGAGCCACCATGCGGCTGCTATAAGGGATGTTGGTAGGTGCCTGCAATCCTGGCACTTAGAAACAGGAGCTCAAGATCCCAAACCACATAGATAGAGCAAGTTCTAGGCCAGACTGAGCTATGTGCGACCTTGTCTCAAGAACACTAAGCAACCCACCAACCCACCAACCCAATCCCGTTTCAAACATTAGTTTCTGCTCTGAAAATACTTTATTATCAGAATCCAATATTGCATACCTACCCACCTAGCTATGAAAATTGAATTGGCTAGCGTGTGGGCTTAAGCTACAATTAAAAATAATCAAACCTTTCAATTTCAATTAATAATTTTCCAATAAGTGTACAAATATATTTAAAATAAAA